CTATTAAAATCAGGAGTTTTGTTTATATGACAAAATCGGACAAGTCAATTTATTGTATGCAGACCATTAACAGTTGACTTGTTAACAGTTGACTTGTTAACAGTACACGACTATATGTTGATGTCATATAACAAGTGAATCCAGTGTAGTGGCCCTGGCTATTTTGCCCTCGTTGCTCCCCTCTCTGGCCTTGTGCTTAATCCTGGTCTATATTAAGTGTATTAAATTAACTAAGAAATTATTTTCACCGGAAAAATCTGTGTAAGACACATCGCCAGGGCTAAAACAAAACAGTAAGTCTTATGACCACAAATTTTACAAGGTTTTTTTATGACTTTAATGTCCAATATTGAAATTAAAAAACGAAGTGACTATATGACCGGCAGCCGGTCACGGTTTATAAAATACTAAATGGCCGGCAGTCTAGTGACTATTGTTAAAGTTTAATTTTTATAAGATAAACCTATCCCCAACCCCAAACCCTTTTCTAACCCTAACCCCTAACCCTAACCTTTTGAGAGTTAGAAAAGTCGGGAAAAAAAGTTTAAAAAATTTTAAGAAAAAACAATGCTAAGTCAGACAAAATACATCGCGACCCCGACTGCGCTTAACTTTCCGCACGCAGCGCCCTTGCCGTATGAGCTAACGGCAAGCTCGGTAAAAGTTAACGCAAACAAAAGTTTTTATATTCAACTACAGTCACTAGACTGCCGGCCATTTAGTATTTTATAAACCGTGACCGGCTGCCGGTCATATAGTCACTTCGATTAAAAAAATTTCGTACTATCCATCCCATGAATCTTACCTGTGAAACGAATTACTCGTCCTTTTATGTAAAGTAAAGTAAATTGTTGCATCAGCAAGTGGAGCAAAACGGCACTTTAATTCCTTCCAAGTTGAAAAAAAACCCCAGCAAAATACGAGAAAAATATATTATGTTTTTAACTAAAAACACTGCCAAAACCAGGGGGGTGAAAACGTCGTCTGAAGCTCAGGATCGCGGTTGGTCAGTGGCAATTCTGTGAGAATTACGGACCAGTTGTCATGGAAATGGCGTCAGCAAACGTCAAAATCCGCCATTTTTTTGGCTTCACTTTGATCACTGAACGAAGTATAGGAGCAGGTCCTCCAGTTATTATACAGCTCAGTGGCAGAAACCCTCGCCTTGCTGACAAAACCGTTGTATTTTCCGAACATGAAGTATCTAAAGTAGTTGTCATGGTAACACGATAACTTTTTAAGAATATTCTTACAAATGAAAATCGCCTAAAAATATCACTTTTAATTACAAAATTATCAATTTCCCAACATATATATGTTAGGTATGTAATTATACGTAATACAAGCTTCAATTTACGGTAAAATTCAACCACAAACAATTCACAAAACGTTTTAAATTAAAGTGTTCTTTATAAAACTAAACTGGCTTTAACTATTAAATGGCTTTATCGATAAACTTTGAGTTTGCAATAAAATGATTTCAAATTCTCGCTTGCAAATAACTTTGCTTTATTTTTTATTTAAAAAATTCAATATAATAAAAAAGGGAATCAATATTAAAGATACACTGAAATTATATGCTGTCTTGTTTAGTTGTTTCATAGGCAGCCCAAAACGGCGTGTAGAATGCACCAATAATGCTTCCAAATGTCAATTTGCATTAAGCTCGCCCCATTCCTTTGTCATTTGTCGCGCGCCGCAAGCACTCAATTTGAAAAGCAGTGTTGATATATATAGATTATACCTAAGGTTGGCAACTATATCTCAACTGACGAATATACCACTTCGGCAGAACGCAAAATACTTCGTATACGTAAATAAAACATGATAAAAAATTATACCACATTGAACTCTGATATTTTTTCTACATACCCGCATATAAATTTTGTCTTCAAGACTGCAAGAAAGTTGAAAAATTTGCACAAACGTTTCATGGTCTGATGAAAATTTTGTTGTACCTATGCGGGATGCTAGAGGTTATTTCATTCGTCATATTTTCAAAAAAAATATGTGATTCAATTGGTTGAAAAAATAAACAGTTTGTGACGTAAATCAGAGAAAAAATTGGTTTCAGGGGGGGAAGGAATTGAACTACAACATGAAAAAGCTCTGATGAAAAAGGTATACAAGAAATACATAATTATACAGCATTTCCATAGCGTCGAGACGATATTGCGGAAAGTAAAATAAAATAAAACAAGGGAACAGAAAAAATGTGATTGGAAAATCTCCATAGATGAGTTTGTATTCAGGTATGTAATACACTTTTAATTATGAAATTTGCAATAACAAAAAACAAAAAGACGACGTGATGTAGTAAACTTGTACTTGTTTTAGTTATACTATCTATGTAAACAAGCAAAAAAAACAACAAATTGCACACCTGGCTTTTCTGATTTTGGATAACTTGATATAAACAAAATTAACAAACTCCCATTCATTTTCGTAAAGCAGAAACGCAGAAAAAGAAGCACAAAGTGCAAAAACTTCATGGCGACGAAGCAGAAAAGCCGTGGGTTTTGCAACGACGTTGACATTTTTGTGTGGTAAGTTGTTGTACGCTATTTCTGACATTCTAATACTTATATAGTTTACCAAAAAAATATTTGCATTGAGATTCCTTCAAGGTGTAATTTACATTTCTGGCCTATGAAATTATTAAAGGTATCAGTATTTAGTTTACTGACAGCTAAATTTTCAAAAAATGTCGAGACTTTTTCTTTGTTATTCATTATTGGCGTCAAATTAGACAAATTTTGGCTGAAAATTCAACTGAAAATTCGGAAACTTTTTGACAATCCTTCAGTACTTTGGCAAACGCTATAGTTACGTTTCGAAAGTTTTAACACAGTCCGTATTCTTGCAAAATTTCAATAGAAAACAATTTTATAAATCACTTTATATGAAAATGAGACAAGTAATGGAAAATAACCAATCAGTGAAAATTTTTACGCGGTTCTCGAAGACCATGGACATGATGACGGTATAAAACTGATATTTCAATTCCATCGGCCTATTAAATCATGAAAAATCTGATCGGGTGCATATAAAAGTATAAAACAGCCAAGGCAAAAAATGATGTGTACCTGAAAATCCACTGTAAAAAGTTCGTTTGGTTTTTCGTAGCTGTATACCATTCCAAAGTAAATCGACTTTATAGTATTAAGCAGATACACGAGGGCAACTATCCTGCCAAGGTATAAAACTGCCAAGATTAATTTTCATGCCATACATAGCCGTATATACTTGTGCAAAAACAGAAACGTAAATCCATAAATGTTGTTCCAATCCATAATTCCACAAATTGAACCTATAAGAACGGGGGGAAATGAGTTTAATAAACGAGAGATTATAAAACATTGAAAAATACAAAAATATACGATTCATTGAAAATGTAAAACGAATTTCAATGATCGAGTCCATGCATAAACGATCCAACGATCATTAACTGAAATAAGAGGTCCTTAGACATCTTACCTTGCAAATCTTTGTTGTTAACTACAAGTTTTAGTTCACCATTTGAAAAAAGAAACAACTAAAAAAAAAGACAACTGCCATAACACCGAGGAATTCAAAATGGAATGGAAAATTGGAAATACTATAGAAGATATGCGCACGCATGTCATGTGATAATTAAAATTCCTCTTTTGCACTTCCGGAGCGTATAAATTATTTCGTACTAAAAATTGCAACTGACTATACCCAGGCGTTCTCAGTTGTTTTATATTATTATTAAATCACTCAAATAGTGATGAACTGATCCAATGTTAGTCCTGATGTAGAAATTTATTTATGAATATAAATGATTAGAAATCAGAATAATTTTTCAAATTATAAAATAGTAACCTTACAGTTGACTTTAAAATTGGGAATAAACGAAATGTTCTGTGTTCTAGAAAGTTCAAGAACGCTGGCCGTTACTTACAATAACCGACAGGTCATTATTTATGGTGGGGGGGGGGGGGCGAAGGGAAATGTTTTTCGTGGCAAAAATTTCGCTGACCCAACATTTAAAAAATCAAAAATTTGATTGCCCAACCTCAAATATCAATGAAAAAATAAATACCCACCTCTGGCCAAAAACATTACAAACGGATACCATTCAGTTGAGTTGTTTTCTTTTTCATTTACCCAAAATTTTGTTTACCCAACCCTTTTCTCTTCGGTGCCACCCCTCCCCCCCCCATAAATAATGACCGGTCCCTAACCTAAACGTTCTTAACACAAAAATGTACTACGTACTTGATTTGGTGTGGTTTTCTTTCAGGATCATTACCAACTTTGAGTATTGCGAAGGTGAGTTTCTACCAGTTAATGCATTATTGGAATCGGCTTCAGAAGACAACCAAAATTTGAATTCAGCTCGCTCGTTGGGAATGCTCATTCGAGATGTTTGGGAAGGAAAGGTAAAGAAAGTATCTAAAGGTGATAATGGCGCCGGGTATCTGAACCTAAGAAAGCGTTCATTTAATGAACTGCATAAAAACAATGACATTATTCGTGAACTTACTGATAAAACAGTTGAAGACATTCGTTTACTTTGCGCTGATCGACCTAACTGGACTATTGACTCGTCACTCTTAGCCAAGAAATCTATTGTATTAATGCATCCTCTTAATCCAGATCGTAGTGAAGCCGTCGCCATTGATGGTCACCGCCTTACAATGGAGATTAATTTAAATATGGGCAGAGCACCTATCATGACCATTAGCACGTGCGGTAGAGAAGTATCCTTTAGTGACATTAGAGGAGTAGATATGGCCGAGGTTACCCTGCGCACAATAGACGAGGCAATTTGTATTCTAGAGAATGCATCAACGTGCATTGGGCAGGCAATCTCTCCCGACGATGAATACCAATTTCTCAAATTGGAAGTTGCTGGTTCCAACGTTGTGACTATTACATCGGAAAATTTGGAAACACATAAAAGATTAGTATCTACGTTATGTTTGCTATTCCGATTTCGCTGCAAATCGTGTAAACATTGTGCGTACACCGCAAAACTTCATCAAAACAGATGCATTAAGCGAAAAGCGACGTCAGCGTCAACCAACTGTTTTCCACACAAAAAATGCAATATACGGTTCTTGGATCAAATGGGTCTTGAAGAGAAGATATCGATGCAAAAAAAAAATCTAAAGAAGGAATTTATAAGAGAATGTCGTACAAATGAAACAGAAAAAATTGAGCTTGTGGACGAAGATCATTTGGATTTAATGGAAATTGTTAGAATCACGGATCCTGCTGATGTTCCTTCTAACCTTAAATTGCTCTGGGAACAACAGATGAAGCAACTTTCTGTAAAATCCTCAAATGGTCACAGATGGGACCCGAGGTGCTTGAATATACTTAAACTTGCAACTTGCTTATATTTTGAACTCCATGGGTTTGTATTATTAGTTCTATTAAAAATAAAACCATAACATTTGTCGTTTTCTAGGATTATAAGGTTCGTCTTGGATGTATATTGCAAGAACCCTAAGGCTTTGGATGCAATGCGCGAGTTCCTGGTTCTTCCTAGCAATCGTCTTATCAGGTTTGTGGAAATTGTAGCCAAGGCACAGTTTCTTATATTATTGCGGTGTCGTAAATTTTCAAATTATAATTTGGGACAATTAATTTATTTTCAGATACTACAAAAACTCTGTTAGTCAAGACGAAGGTTGGAATGAAGAAGTGATTTCTTGGTGTCAGAAAGAGGCAAAGCGGCGAAATCTTAGACCGGAAGAGTATTGGGGTGGACTTATTATGGATGAGATGAAGATCCAAGTACACAAATTTGTGACAATATATAACATAATAATTATAACCATTGATAAAATCCCGTTGTTAGAACAATAACAACGCTAGTCTAATATATATAACAATATAAGATACAAATTATGTTAGATTGTATTCCATGCTTTATCTCTAACAATTTATTGTATTTTTTAATATTAGGAGGATTTACAGATGACGGTTAAAGGCGGAAAACATCAACTTACAGGAATGGTGTCACTTGGAGGTTTTTATGATGCTATGAAGAAGATAGAGTCGCGTAAGTTTAAGATCGTTGTTTATAATAGCCCACGATGCTAAGTATTAATTAAATTCAGAATTATAAATATATCTTGCAAGCACAATGTCATATTTTAAGACTGATTAAAATTTTACAGACTGATTTTGAAAAAGAGAAATATATAACATACCGTAATTCTATTTCACTAATATTATGTTATCGTTAATTTTGCATATTATTTAATGTCCTTCTTTAGAAGGTGACACCAAAATTTCCATAGCAACACACCTATTGCAGTTTGTGTTCCTTAGTGATGGAGGATTTCGTTTTCCAATCGCACACTTTCCGACCGCACAATGTCCAGCAACAGTCCTATACATGAAGTTTTGGGAAGGCGTATTACAACTGAGAAGAGCAGGCTTTATGTGAGGCTTTTTCCCATTCAATTTATATATTAGATAGGTCCAGATTTAGCTGACTTCCTCTACAGCTACTACTATCTCTCACTGGCTTAGTACACATTTGATTGGTTGATCGGATATATCAAACACATCTGATTGGCTAATGGTGCCTTAATAGTGAGTGTATCTAAAAGTCGAGGGTCGAGAGTCGAGAGTAAAGGTCGAGAGTCGAGAGTAAAAGTCGAGAGTCGAGAGTAAAAGTCGAGAGTCGAGAGTAAAAGTCGAGAGTCGAGAGTAAAAAGTCGAGAGTCGAGAGTAAAAGGTCGAGAGTCGAGAGTAAAAAGTCGAGAGTCGATCGAGAGTAAAAAGTCGAGAGTCGACGAGAGTCTCTGATCGAGAGTAAAAAATCGAGAGTCGGCAAATGTCATCAGAAACAACAAAGTCAAAATATTTTAACCACATTTAACACAATCTATATATAGCTTTACATAGCCATTCCGTATTAACAAGTACCAACGGCTGAAATACAAACTTTCCAATAAATATTGCTGCAACAGTCAATAATAATAACGTGATAACAAAAACAAAAAAGATTGGATAAGAAAATAATATCGCATTTGATGCCTCAATCTTGCTAAATGTTTTCACATGTCATTTCATTCTAACTGACACATAAACTCCGCTGAATTTTGACAGCCATCTCCAGGCTTGTAACTAAAATGTCACTTATTATTAACGTACGTTTATATCAAACGAGAGCGTATTAAGAAATCCACGTTGATCACAATCTAACGATTCATACAATTGTGAATTCATAAATACGAGCCAGTAAAAATAGGATTCTTTTGTCGTATGTGTGACTCTATCGGGTGGTAATATGTCTCGCACGTGATTGTAAAGTCCTAGTATTTATATGTAGCTTCACATATGAGTAATTTTTCGCGGAAATAGGCGCATGTAAAAGCGGGAAGGATGGACAGTAATATATAAGGAAGCGATGAAACTAGTTATTAGATAATAATTATTATTATTGAATCTTGTGGCTAAATTTTTGCGAAAGTTTTTGTTTTATATTATACTGGATTATTCCTTTGATTGTATATGCCTCTTGTTTACTTTAATTTCGAGAATTTGAGCATACTAATTATGTTTCGCAAATATTGTTTGCTTTATGTTCCGATACACAGGAAATGAAATTAGTTCAGCCGTCATAGGCGTACCGGCGGGAGGCAAAAAGAAAATTTACCCGACTTTTACCCACTGAATAAAATTTTCCGTGTAACTATAAAATTTCCAAAATTGTCGTAGGGAAGTAGACAATATTTTCCTATTTGTCGATTCCTCGTTACTTTTACATATTTCTGGTATTTTCAAATACCATATTGCATGTACTCATGTCTTCTTTTTAAATTTATTTCCCCCAATTTTTGCTCGAATTTATACGTTTATAATTTGCATGACTTTATTTTTACTGGGGGGCGGGAATGTCTCCCCCCCCCTCGCCCGTACGGCTATAATCAGCCGTTGTTACGGATCGGTTATAGAGGGGGGTAATGGGGGGGGAGGGTACCGATCCTGAAGCACGAAAAATAATATGCAGCGATCTTGAAGCATGAAAAATAAAAGAAGGAAGTCCTGAAGCACGTAAAATAAATTTATTACGAATCTGAAATGTAAAGTGAACATGAAATGTAAGCAACAATCATACTTAGAAGTCAAAGGTGAATATAAACAGTCTGTACTAGGCGGTGTGTTCACCTATTTGTTTACAATTGCGTCGATGTTCATGATTTATATAAACTTTGAAACCTCCGTTCCCCAATCAAAACATAGCTAAAATCCAGAAACAAAATTAATGGAATATATTGTCCAGAAACGAGAAATAACCGTCTTTAAATACAGCTGAAAACGGAGAACGGATATTGAATACACCGCAAGCACGATACACGGCATCCATGTCGGGATCGAAAAACGTTTAATAAAAAGATGACTGAACGAAGAACGAATAATTAAATTACCCCAATACGCAGCACGAAAATACCCCATTACCCCCCTCGTTATATATTGTGTTAAAAATATTTTGACCCCCAATTTGTTGTTTGATGACATTTGCCGACTCTCGACTTTTTACTCTCGATCGACTCTCGACTTTTTACTCTCGACTCTCGACTTTTTACTCTCGACTCTCGACTTTTACTCTCGACTCTCGACTTTTACTCTCGACTCTCGACTTTTACTCTCGACTCTCGACCTTTACTCTCGACTCTCGACCCTCGACTTTTAGATACACTCCTTAATAGTAGCTGTAGTGGACGTCAAATCTGAACCTCACTAATTAGTAATTAATCAGTAAATTCTGTACTACTATGGTATACAGATCTTACTTTATACTTAGCATTGTCCAAAATTTGCTTTCTATATAGAATCTACTTTGCTTTGTGTGATGGAGGAGATGCTAATAGACAGTTTTTTAAAATGCATTTTTCCAATTGTCATCCTTGTGATTTGCATTTCGTCGGATATAACATGATGACTGAAGATCCAATGGTGTTTTTAATGGATTGTAAGGTACAAGCATCCACGTCACAGTCATCAGCTGTTTTTCACTTTAATTATTATGCGTATTGCAGTAACAGCGTATTATAAATATTCTTTCGATTTCAAAGTCGAAACGCTTGACATCTACACTAATCCGTTTTTGCATTGTATTATTTGATATTGCTGTGCATGCTGAGTGGTTATATTACTACCTTAAAAAATAAGCAGAAACTCGACATTTCGAGCGAAGGCCCTTCGTCAAGAGTTAGTGGGTATTATTCCTTTGTGAACAGAGAGCAATTCGACTATATTCCTGTAGCCTATATTCCTTTGTGAACAGAGAGCAATTCGAAAACGCTAAGAAAACGGATAAGTGTGGACGTAATCTAACGTACAGTCAGCATCTTTTCATTATTATTGCCAAACCAATCAATGGGCTAATATGTTACACATGGAAAGAAAGCCATTACTTCACTTGTAAGAATGCATGTGCTATGTTTTAATAATTAGTGTGCCATACGATCATGCCCGACCAAAAGGTGGGTTGATCTGACTATATATTGTCAGCAGGGCCGCCGAGAGCTTTTCGGGGGCCCGGGGCAAACATTGTTTGGGGGTGTCTATTCATCCTCTCCACCCCCGTCGACAACTTTTTCAAAAAACACACCCCCCACCCCCCGTCGAGAGCTTTTTCGGAAAAAAATTTTCCGGACAAGCATGTCTCAATTGCTTCCGTATCACTTTCCCCAACGCTTTCCATACAAGATTTCTCTACTTTGCCCGAAAAATGACGGAACTGACTAGGGGCCCCCAGAGCCAGAGGCAATTTGGCTCCCCCCCTGCCCCCTCTCGGTGGCCCTGATTGTCAGACCAAGCCCTCGGAATCATATTAAACTATGACGCCAATAAGATATATTTATTTTATTAGACGAATTGAAAAATCATATAACATATTCTACATTAACTAAATGACAATCATGAACTACATAAAATGTACATACTTTTAGTACTGTAAGTATTTTTAATTAGTATTCAGAACGGAATTATAAACTTTGCATATTCTATATGTAGTACTAAGTTACTAGTACGATATTATTTATTCAATTTTTTTTAGCATAATTTCAAGAAACTGCGCAACAACGTAGAAAAGAGTAGCGCTCATGGTACGTCGCGATGTCTGACGTTAAATGGCAAGAACATATTTTGGTCGCATTGGAAGGAGGCGTACACTTGGGACCAAAGCAGCAACTCATGTCATTTCCATGAGAAACTTAAAGAAGATCACTTTATGCTTACACCAAGTTCAAGAATGCGAAATGGTTTGGCTGAGGACGTTCTGGATAAGAAGATGTTACTTCTAATGAAGGTATACATAGTATATTTTGTTTTGAACTCTTATAATTATATACCTTGTAAGGCAGGGTATCGTTTCACAACGCCGCAGTTTTTTTTTATACTAGCGATGCGAAACGATACAACGCGATCATGGATTCATGCTCATATTTTTCTGTGAGTTTCTAGTTATATCATACAAAATGGTTCTATATCTGCATGGAACTGACTTACAAGAGAGTGCCTACATAGCTGCAGCTAGCAAAAATTGACTCGTGAAGTTACATCATGTTTATCAAACTGATTGTAATTTTGTAGGCCTACAATGATCATCTTAAGAAAAACGACAGCGAAAACGCAAGCAGACTAGACGAAACGATTACGTTTCTTACCCACACCAGTGCAATGGTGGAATTATTTTCTGACAAGCACACCATCTTTCATGTAAAAGACAACCGAATTATAAAGCTGCAAGGAGCTTTACAGTATTTCAGCAACTGGAAATCACGTGTCTCTTCACCTAAAGAGTTTCTGTCTGCCAAAACATGGTTTGACATGCAGTCCATGATACTCGGTTTCATATCTATGGTAAAATCGAAACTTGCTCGTTTTCCAGGATCATGTATCAAGCCGGCAATAGTTAACCAAGATGTCGTTGAAAATCATTTTTGCCAGTTACGAGGCGCAAACGGACAGAATGACAATCCTACCTACCAAATGGTTCAAGGCACCCAAAACTCCGTGATATTTGGTCAAACAACAATAAGTAAGAAATGCAACACGGGTACTACAAAAAGTGATTCATTCGCTGGATTGCCGAAAGAAAAACTATTTAGTCGACGATAAGAGAACTATAGCAAATGATATATATGCAAAGTCTCACCCGCATGGTTTAACCATTTTTAAAAAGGAAATTACCGTTTTAGAAAAGCACATTTGACAGCGACGCAACTGATTCAAATACTTATATAATTGAAATTAGCTAATACTACAGGTATATAGTGAGGATTTCCTTCTATAGTATGTAAGTAGACTAAGTAATAACATATCACAGAATATCCAGCTTTATTATATACACAAGGTCTGGATATGAGGTATTCTGCAATCTGATTGGTTCTCTACTAGCAGGATATTAGCTCATATCCTGCTAGTAGAGAAAAACAAAATGGCGGCCAAACTGAATTTACGATGCTTTGCAAACGAGAAAACGGCAAGTTGTCGCTTTTTATAGCCTTCACAGGATTAAAAACACAATGAAAAAAACTCCCACAAATTGTTTTCAGGTTAGCAAATAAATTTTTAATATTTAAAATGGTTAAAAATATATATTTTGGAAAAAATAATCGGCCGAAAGAGCGAAGATAAAAAACATAAACAAAATAGAAAAATATTGAAAATATTCGAAAAGTAAAGTCTGTGAATTCAGACCTTGTGTATATAATAAAACAGTTATTCCACTCACTCTCGTCGAATATGAGCGATAGCCGATTCGGCGCTACGCGCCTCATCGGCTATCAGCTCATATTCGACTCGAGTTCGTAGAATAACTGTTAAATAGCTTCAGGTGCGTTTTCCAGATCAGAATTACTTGAACATGTGTCATGTTGTTTAAACATGCATGTGACATGGGTTGAACATTTTATGGGTGCTGATTACATGGAGAGATTGCAATCCGCGGGATGTATTTCAACCCGGTTCACCGAGGCAAAATTGTTTAACGCTTACATAGCAAATTTTAAGCCAGGCTGAGTTACAACAAATTTCACCTCAAATTCACATTTCACGAATTTACAAATTCCACTTCTTCGAAATCCCATGTAATCAATCCCTAACTTTTATGAAAACTTTAATTGCCTAAAATGGGTATTAAAACTAGAAAGTACAGCCTGTAGTTGTACGTATTATATAATTATATACGTATATCATGTTTACAGCTGGTGAATGAAATATTGTAAACAATAAACGATATAGAAAACTGTGTCGCTATACCCGTCGTAATCTTAACACAGGAATTCGGTCGGGTGCATCGGTCACAACTGTTCCTACTGTATAGGTTGATGTTACCTGGTGACATGGGATATGATCGTATTCAGGGATTGCTTGGACCAAGGCCTTCGCTAGTCGTTCTTTGTTCCAACTTGTAAGGAACCTCACTTGGTAGGCATCGCACAGATGCTGTAACTCGACTTTCTTGTAGTAGCTCTTAATATCTTCTTTCACTTCATTGATGAGAGCCAGTAGACGTATATGCGAAGATCGTTTTCCATCGCTCCTATCTTGTTCAATCTGAGTGACATGAACTTTCATTCGACCTTTTTTAGCTTTTTCTTTTTTCAACATCAGTGACTTGCGATGAGCCAGAGATTTCTTTATATGGTAATCGCGTCGAAAATCTCGCAAGAACTGACCTGCACCCATCTTCAAGTAACGCGTTACCACATCTTTATAGATATCCATAACTAATTCCTGAAAGAATTATAAAATATGTCACCCGAAAATTGATAACTAAGGTCGCCGACCTTCAGTCGTGGAGGCAAAATGCCCTGGGGACGAGGTTGTAAATTTGGCTGCATTTTGCATCAGACATCAAAGCGCTCACGATAAGAAATGAAGATTACCACAAACTGATGCAAATCACTCCTCGGCAAATTATTGACAAAAACGTCGCTTGCTTGAGCTCACTGTTATCCTTTTTGACCGCAATCGAATGCCACCGTAATTATTTGAAAGTTAAACACTCGCCACAGAAGCGAATATCGATCATTAAAGTGAAGGGCATGCATAAATGCTAAACAATTATCCTCATTTCAAAACAATATTTTCGGTTATTCGAGCTTCACGAATAAATTCTTCTTACCTTGTCCAGAGCAGTTTCCGAGTCAAATGTATTCTTGAAGTGACTAAAGAGAGATTGGCTGTTCGACACTTGTTCAATTGAGTCATCAATCATGTCTTTTTGTAAGTGAGCCAGCTTTGAAAAGTTTATTCTGTCAACACGTTCTTGTTCCAGCAACAAAAAAAAGGAGTATGCAGCATCACTGATGTGAAATAAGCCTCGCTCACGATACTGGCGTGACTCGATAACGTGCAGGGTTTCGGGACTTTCCGTAGACTCTCGAAGAACTTGATGGTTAACAATCACATTGTTTTCAATAAGCTCTATCTTCTTCATTTCATGAGTTATCTTCCTCCGTACGTGTAACGACTGTGACAACTTGTTTTCATGTACGTACCTATTGAAATTAATAGATATCATCATTAATATGAGAAATTGTAAAGTCCCAAATCATATGATCGATCGGCACAATACTTTTTGTTCGAGCACTGTATTTCTCTTTCTTTGGTCTAAATAACGTCTGCCTATTTAATGGTCAATTCGACGCTTATAGGATTCAAATTTACTATTAGCCATTCCGAAGTTGATGAGTGGACTGGGAACAAGTGTTAAAAAGTGCCCAAATTAAGAAATGAAACAAATCACTAAAAAGACCAACTTTAAATTAGTAAGTATACAAAATTTGAAGACGTTTACATGAATACCCTTCGAATAATAAGCTTTCGAAAACTGTAAAATTACTGATTAAAAGATTGTTTTTGGGACGCACGTCCCAAAAATAAAAATTACAATACATTTCATAGTCTTCATAGTAAATATCACAATTTTCGAAAACTTATTATTCGAATTCGAAGGATGTAAACGTCTTCAAACTTTGTATACTTAATTTTGAGGTGGTCTTTTTAGTGATTCGGTTCATTTCTTAATTTGGGCACTTTTTAACACTCGTCCCCAGTCCACTCATCAACTTCCGAATGGCTAATTTAACCACCTGCGGCGGATTGTATAAAACTCTTAAGCGCTTTTTAATGAGTAACTAATTTAATTTTTGAAAAATACCAAGAAACTGACAGGACATAGACAAAGTAATATCTGTCATGGATTTGTGTGTAAACTGTAAAATAGACGTTAAATATAATCAACGGTTATTCGTTTAAAGTGTACACATTTTTTTCTACGTATGTAGTTTTGACGCAACCTCTCGCCAAACTATTCTTTACTGCGGGTAAAATTTCAGTCAGCATACCTGCGTGATTTCTCTAGTGACTTCCTTACAGCCCATCCTCCAACATAACGCACTTTTCCCCGTCCGTCTGCTCCCATTTCGTCTACCTTAAAGGGAAGAGCCTCTTCTTCCTCTCTGGTGCGAACTAAATTTCCTAGTTCATCTGCAAACAGTTTGAACAGGCTGAATACCAACTCGAAACCCAATGTTCTCTGACCGTCGTTTATGTCTGACCAACATGAAACTCCGAAAGAAGTAATCAGATCACTTCGATACTCTTGGGTCAGGAATAGTTCGTGCAATTTAGTGGTAGTAGCTGTAAAATCCCGGTTCGTCATGTGTACCTCTTCCCCGTTCTCCGACAAATAATCTCGAAATAGTTCAAAAATTCGGCACCAAAGTATTCTCACTAGTAATTCAAAAGCCTCCAGGTTATCAATTCCATATTGCGCTGCTGATTTGATTGACTTACTGAAGGGATCATCATAAGCAGCGTTTAGAATTTTCTGGAGAAAATCCTTAATTGAATAACAGGTTGGAAGAGCAGTTAATTTGCTTTCAAAGTCACACAAGCACAAAAGAACATCTTCCAGGTTGACTGTAACTCCATCGTTGGTTTCAAAAAATTTCTTTGCTGGGCATTCTTCATCGATTGTGCGCACAAGTATTAGTTGTTCGGCACCGATTGCATCGCTTTCTCCATCATTTCCGTCTTCTTCTGCGCACTGGAAAAAGCTATCTTCAAGGTGGGTGTTCTTACAGCAGTGAAAAGTTGGATCTGTGTCACGTTGACTAACGGATAAAGACAGCAATTCGGTTGGTACAGGGAGTAAGAACTTCCGTTGAAACCCAATCACCTGCAGTGAAGCTTCTTCCCTCACTCTCGATAGGGCAACGTAGGTTTGTCCAGACACGAATTCCAGGGAACAGTGCACAACAGCTGCGTCCAATGTCAAACTTTGGGCTTTGTGAACTGTCATTGCGTAACACGGTGTGAGCGGAAATTGGGTCCTACTGGCTTTTACCACACCACTCTTGTCATGTTTGTACCAAGTTCTACGCTCGATAGCTACAGTTCCAATTGTTGAAAAATTCACAAGAAGACGTTGATCCTCGCCGGGTTCTTTACTTTCAAGTCCAATAAACTTCCCTCTGTAGCCATTTCTTAAATGCTTGTTTATATTGTATAGTAGCATAACGTTGCATCCCTCTTTCAATGTGAGAACATTGCTTATCGTATGTTCAAGGTACTGGGCGCATCCAGTATCAGTACTTTTCAAAATAAGGAAATTCCCTGGAAGACTCGATAGAACATCAATGTTGTGTACTTCCACTGGTAGCTTTCTAAAATAGATATGCACCAAATCGTTAGAGTCACAGCATGGCTCTCTGTTTAAGCTACTGAAGTACGTTTCGGTATCTTCATCACATCCTCCTGCTCGCACATCATCTAACGCTTTCTTCAGTCGAATTTCTGATTCGTGCTGCCTTTTTACTTCTTTCAATTCAACTCGATGCGGAAATGCTTCGTTGAACAATTTTGAATGGAAAACTGGGCTACCTCTATCCAACAAAGTACGAATTGGTTTCAACTGCCAAAAATCTCCGACCAAAATTACCTGAATACCACCAAACGGTAAGGCGTTCTTCGATATCATGTGATGCAGAATATTGACAAGTTCAAAGATTCGTTGACTAGACATCGATATTTCGTCCCAAATTAAAACATCCATATCGGTAATATCATCAACGATGTTCTTTCTTCCCAAAGCCCTCTCAATTAGCAGTGGTGCAGGAAGTTCGCATGTTTGCAGTCCATATTGGGAATGTATTGTTTTTGCAACACCGTTGTATGGTTCACATGACACTCCACTCGCGCATACAACGTAGCACGTTTTTCGTTGCGACGATATATTTTTTATTATTTCCCTTACCACCGTGGTTTTGCCGACACCAGCTTTCCCAATTACGCAAATGTTATGACCACTTTCTGCAAGTCTCAGAACTTTAAGTTGCCCTTCTGTGAGCTTTACTGAGCTATCAGCCATAAAAAATGAAGAGTTGAAAGTCTATAAATAAATAGAAAACCACACCAAATCAATTACGTAGTACATGTTTGTGATTAGAACTTTTAGTTTATTGTAAGTAACGGCCAGCGTTCTTGAACCTTCTAGAACACAGAACATTTCGTTTATTCCCAATTTTAAAGTCAACTGTAAGGTCACTATTTTATAATTTGAAAAATTATTCTGATTTCTAATCATTTATATTCATAAATAAATTTTTATATCAGGACTAACATTGGATCAGTTCATCAACTATTGAGTGATTAATAAGGGAGTGGTCATTATTTATGGGGAGGGGGGATTGGGAAATGGGAGGGGGGGGCAAACGAAGTTTTACCTTATAAATAGGGGGATCAAAAAAGTTTTAACACAGAGAAAGGGGGGGGGGTCATAAAAGTTTTTGAACTTAAATACCATGTCTAGAGTTCTGATTTCTATAATCACAAATAGCAACAATCAAGACTCTGAAAATGCTATTTCCAACGATCTAGAGACTCAAAATTTTCAAAATTTCCCTGCTCGGCGCCAACCATTGTAGCGCATCGCGATCGTGGGAGTCGGGCTCACTAAATTTAACAAGCTTTCTACCCCCTGAGTGACCCAGTTGTGGTATTTACATAAACATACCATGCAAGTACACTTAACTTATCAGATTCGATCTATCAACGCACAATGTAACGCTGTATATCCAAAAATCTGTTTCAGAAAATGCTCACATTTCAGTTCTAGGGGTGGAAAATTAAAATACAAAAAATTTTCTGGGGGAGAATACCCATACCCCCCTACTAGTACATACGATACCACACCAAACTTTTTGTCACCAACAACCATCTGTCATCTCTCCACACTCAATATAGTATGGTCCCTTTTTGTAGATGCCCGCCCCCCAGACAAGTTCTTAAAAAAAACCTGTGTTCAAATCATTTCGTTGTATGAAGACAGGTCATGGGTTAGGGTTATGGTAGGACAAATGTTACATTACAAAGTAGTAACACATAATATATATTTTTTAATCATATATGATTGAATCATATTCACTAGGGTAAAACATCATGAGCTAGATTAAACAGACTGTCCTAATATCTAACTTTACCTGCAACGCACACCTGTTTCATTGCTGTTAATTTTTCAATCCATACTGGGGGGGGGGTCAGAAACGTTTTTACTTTTATGAGGGGGGAGGCACAAAAAGTTTTCAATCCTTATTTTTCCCATTTCCCCCCCCCCCTCCCCCCCCCTCCCCATAAATAATGACCACTCGCTAAGTTAAAACTTATAAAACAACTGAGAACGCCTGGGTATAGTCAGTTGCAATTTTTAGTACGAAATAATTTATACGCTCCGGAAGTGCAAAAGAGGAATTTTAATTATCACATGACATGCGTGCGCATATCTTCTATAGTATTTCCAATTTTCCATTCCATTTTGAATTCCTCGGTGTTATGGCAGTTGTCTTTTTTTTTAGTTGTTTCTTTTTTCAAATGGTGAACTAAAACTTGTAGTTAACAACAAAGATTTGCAAGGTAAGATGTCTAAGGACCTCTTATTTCAGTTAATGATCGTTGGATCGTTTATGCATGGACTCGATCATTGAAATTCGTTTTACATTTTCAATGAATCGTATATTTTTGTATTTTTCAATGTTTTATAATCTCTCGTTTATTAAACTCATTTCCCCCCGTTCTTATAGGTTCAATTTGTGGAATTATGGATTGGAACAACATTTATGGATTTACGTTTCTGTTTTTGCACAAGTATATACGGCTATGTATGGCATGAAAATTAATCTTGGCAGTTTTATACCTTGGCAGGATAGTTGCCCTCGTGTATCTGCTTAATACTATAAAGTCGATTTACTTTGGAATGGTATACAGCTACGAAAAACCAAACGAACTTTTTACAGTGGATTTTCAGGTACACATCATTTTTTGCCTTGGCTGTTTTATACTTTTATATGCACCCGATCAGATTTTTCATGATTTAATAGGCCGATGGAATTGAAATATCAGTTTTATACCGTCATCATGTCCATGGTCTTCGAGAACCGCGTAAAAATTTTCACTGATTGGTTATTTTCCATTACTTGTCTCATTTTCATATAAAGTGATTTATAAAATTGTTTTCTATTGAAATTTTGCAAGAATACGGACTGTGTTAAAACTTTCGAAACGTAACTATAGCGTTTGCCAAAGTACTGAAGGATTGTCAAAAAGTTTCCGAATTTTCAGTTGAATTTTCAGCCAAAATTTGTCTAATTTGACGCCAATAATGAATAACAAAGAAAAAGTCTCGACATTTTTTGAAAATTTAGCTGTCAGTAAACTAAATACTGATACCTTTAATAATTTCATAGGCCAGAAATGTAAATTACACCTTGAAGGAATCTCAATGCAAATATTTTTTTGGTAAACTATATAAGTATTAGAATGTCAGAAATAGCGTACAACAACTTACCACACAAAAATGTCAACGTCGTTGCAAAACCCACGGCTTTTCTGCTTCGTCGCCATGAAGTTTTTGCACTTTGTGCTTCTTTTTCTGCGTTTCTGCTTTACGAAAATGAATGGGAGTTTGTTAATTTTGTTTATATCAAGTTATCCAAAATCAGAAAAGCCAGGTGTGCAATTTGTTGTTTTTTTTGCTTGTTTACATAGATAGTATAACTAAAACAAGTACAAGTTTACTACATCACGTCGTCTTTTTGTTTTTTGTTATTGCAAATTTCATAATTAAAAGTGTATTACATACCTGAATACAAACTCATCTATGGAGATTTTCCAATCACATTTTTTCTGTTCCCTTGTTTTATTTTATTTTACTTTCCGCAATATCGTCTCGACGCTATGGAAATGCTGTATAATTATGTATTTCTTGTATACCTTTTTCATCAGAGCTTTTTCATGTTGTAGTTCAATTCCTTCCCCCCCTGAAACCAATTTTTTCTCTGATTTACGTCACAAACTGTTTATTTTTTCAACCAATTGAATCACATATTTTTTTTGAAAATATGACGAATGAAATAACCTCTAGCATCCCGCATAGGTACAACAAAATTTTCATCAGACCATGAAACGTTTGTGCAAATTTTTCAACTTTCTTGCAGTCTTGAAGACAAAATTTATATGCGGGTATGTAGAAAAAATATCAGAGTTCAATGTGGTATAATTTTTTATCATGTTTTATTTACGTATACGAAGTATTTTGCGTTCTGCCGAAGTGGTATATTCGTCAGTTGAGATATAGTTGCCAACCTTAGGTATAATCTATATATATCAACACTGCTTTTCAAATTGAGTGCTTGCGGCGCGCGACAAATGACAAAGGAATGGGGCGAGCTTAATGCAAATTGACATTTGGAAGCATTATTGGTGCATTCTACACGCCGTTTTGGGCTGCCTATGGTTGTTTCATATACGCAAAGGCCGTCGGGTTTTAAAGCCATTATAAAATCAATATTTAAAACAAACTTACCTTCGTTAACGTCGGCTCCCTTCTTTTAGCTGATTCTTTCGCCCTTTCTTTCTTGAAATTTACAAAATCTTGCAGAAATACGAGCAAAAATGAAGAATATTTGAAAGAAATTTATCAATCATCAACTCATCAAATCAAGAAATGTTTGCTATTTCGCTGTCGTCATTAAGTCGTTATAATCACAGAGTAGAGACATACAGAGACGTAACTAGTGTACCCACTTTTTTTGTGCGCATGCTCGGCAAGTTACTAGATGCATGCATCTGATTGGATGACGAGCTGATGACGACTCACTTTAAACTTGCTGAGCACGCGCAGTTGATCATTTTTCGCCCGGTCGCATGAAAAAAAGTGGGTACATGATAACGTAATCTTCCGCAGTGTTTACAACGGTCAGTTACGTCTCTGTATGTCTTATCTACTCTGTGTTATAATGCAAACTTAAAATTGGACCAATCAGTGTCCGTTATTCATGACAGTCCGCCATATTTTTGAGATCAGTGAGAATGACCACCCATCGTTGGTGACCGACGCCCGCGCTCATTGATGAACTTTAGACTTCGCCATTGAACTAAAAATAACTGGAACGCTACGTTCAGTAAACTGCGCATGCAAATTTTGAAGCCAAAATTTGACTCCCATGAAGCCAAATGAAGCCAGTTTTGACTCCCAGACACGCACTTTCACGCGTGTTTCTACTGCGCGATTTACTCGCGAGACAATGCAGGGGGCGCTCGAAGCATGCCGTTTTGAACGTTTTCATGGCAGGATGCAAATCGAAAGGGAAACGGGCCTTTTCAGTTTAAAACGGGCCTTTTAAAGCCTGTGTACGACCTTGTAGAATTTAGCTTCAAATTTCCGCTTGAACGTAGTACCCTCGCACGGCGCTTCGCACC